GATACATACCTTAATTGTTAATGAAACGGTATAAATTTCCCTTATTTAGTACATGATGAAATTTAAGTCTATTAACTTTTGGTCTATACTCGCTCCCTTGAAGCTTTTCCTGATCAGTAAATTTGCTATACTGTTATCCTGTTTCAAAAAGTTTGCATTTGTTTTGGGGATTGAATATTATCATGCTGAAAACTTATACTTTTTATGGGTCTTTGATATTTATGATTTTCTGGACTTTGTGCTACGCCATATATTAATGACATTATAATAGCCTTAGATACTGTAAGCGAGTTTAGTTCTAGAGTGATGATTCATCACTGGTCACTGTGGTTTAGGTACTAATAGATTATATGTTAACGTTGAGTCTGATACTGCATGACTATTATTCGAATTTCATCATTTATTTAATCAAAAGCTGTGTGAATATTTCCTTTCTTTTTTAATAGCGAATTCTACCTGAACATAAACAAACTGTACATATTTGAATTGACGACAGATTTACAAATTACTGAACTATCTAAAATGATTATTTCATTTAATTGATTGATTGGTTTTTGGTATTACGAGTTTAGCCAGCTTCCTTTCTCTTGCTATTATGTATCATTGACTTAAATTCGATATTCTTCATTTTGCTTAGTCTGTGATCAACCGTGAGACTTTCAACGCTTTTCCAGCCGTTACCCAGCGTGTTTTGGTTAGCCTTCTTCCGTTATACGACCGCATCCCACTATGCACAAAGTCTCTTCATGATCAGATCCTACCTCCACTGGATTCTACGGACAATTTTCACACAATCGGCGGTGAAACTAGATCAAACGCAGTTACTACCTCTTATTCTACCTCCCGGTTGACAACGGACAATGGCCCCGCCGACTACAATTGCAGAGATGGAGAAGAATGCCGCCCGATTGAATCAGCTTCAATTACTAAACAAGTTGGGTCACCATCAGTGAAAGAGTTCGGTTTGCAGGAGAGTGAGGTGACTGTTGCTTTACCCACAGCTTCGGCTCTCGCTGCTCTCAATCAGCCACCTTGGCTTAATTCGACAGCGCTGAACAATGAGTTTCTTACAAAAGCACTTCTTGACTATCCTGATCGGCAGGCTCGTGGTGAATTTGTCCAAAGAATCCGCCATCGGGCGGGTCTGCGTGCTTCTGCCGGGAACAGGCGCCGTTATCTTACAGGTCCTTCCTTGTCAGGCTCAGGTGTGTCTTCAACAGCTGCAGTTGTAGCGGCTGCTTCCGTATCCTCTGGTGTAGGGCCTGGTGGTACTGGCTCCACAGAGACCTCTGGTGGTGCGGTTGGCGCGGATGCATCTAGGACTGCAGCTGTTGCAGCCATCAGAGCCTCACAGTTTGCTGCGGCAGAGCAGTTGCTAAAAAATGCCACTGCTGCTGCGGCTGCAGCGGTAGCTGCCCTCGCCGTAAATGGTAGTGATGCAGATGCTTCTGGGACAACTAGCACAAAAATCTTAAGTCGTATGCTCAGTACTAAGTGTTCAGGTTCTGATGCCACTGTTCCCCTCAGTACTGCTTCTGTACATGCCGAAAAGAGCCAGGCAATGGTCACAGAAAGCGAGGTAATAATGAGTGGCATTGAACGAGTCGGGGCGGAGGAGGAAATAGAAGAGGACGATGACGATGAAGATTTTTATCTGGATGCTAGAGGTGCAGCCTCTGAATCATCCTCATTCACAAGGTAATTGTATTTCTAATTCCCGTATTTTTATACGAGATTGGTATCTTACCTAATTTGCCTTATATGTAAAAACTGCTTATAAGTTAACAATTAATCTTTATCTCATCCTATGCTGAAATTGAGAGGCAAAGAATATATTATCAGATGGCTTATCGGTAGAGGCTGATGGTGGTTATTTTTGACTTAAGTTATATGGCCTGCGGTGCTGATTCGCCCTCTTCAGGCCATCCATCCTTTCTTAGTCTCTTCTTAATATTGCCTTGTTTACGTATATGCTAATTATTGACTAACTATGATTCTGAAACGGAAGCCATCTGTATAGAGTAAATGACTGATTATGCCTAAAAGATTGTCAATCTTTATTGTCGGGTTGATTTTAGGCTGTTATACAAACCACCTCAATCGAATTCAAATACCTTTATTTAAACTTTAGAAACTGATAACTGATTGGTAGTAGCAAATGATCTTATTGTTAATTAAATAGGTATTGATTAGTTCTTATCTGATTGATCGCTTCTTAATTTTTACTTACCGAGGGATCCTTCACTCCTTTTAAACCTTTAAATTGTGTAAACGCGTTTAAATAAGTATTAATCACCTCGGTATCATTTGCCAAGTAATGGGATTGCATTATTCCTGGGTGCATTCACTAGGAGGGGGCCATACGTTGTCTTGTATGAACATAATTTATTACTTAAGAATTAGGTCTGTTCTTGTCGGTAGATTTTTCCCGCTGCGTGTATTCGCTGTAAGTTTTAAGAAGCTTTTATATGGTGGCAAACATTAGGCCCCCAATCATATTTGGGGACGCAAGAAATCGCATTCTCACTTTAGAAGCTATTTTTCTTAAGGATGTCTCAAGCACATGCTTTAATATTAGCTATTTAGTTAACCATCATTCAAAAACTAATTTGAAAAGTAGAATATGGCCATTAAATCCTTATATCCTCTACCCTTTTATATATCTGAGTAAATTCAGCAAGTTCAATGGCTTTTGTCTTGATTTCTTAATAAATTCCTTCCTAATTAATTACTTTTGTTTATTCAGCAATTTCATCCATTCTCTTTGCCTAAAACTTCATAATTTTAATCTTAATAGGACTTATGAATCAGTTCGTTTTTGGTGAATTGATAGCCACGGCCTGAGCTTACATTTAATAAAAAGCTGCTGATTTCATGGTTTAAAGCTATCTGAAATCAAATTGAAAGACCAAAATATATGATTTATTAGTTTGCTCTACTGTATTGGATCTGTGGCAATAAGTGGCTCATATTGACCAAACTTTTTGTTTGTCTAATAGGAGTAAAAATAGCTTTTTACATGAACTCATAATTGATTATTTTCGAAGGATACACTTAGTTTAAGTCGGTACTAGAACTGTTATAGATTTTCCTTGATTTATAGCCCTGAATACAAAAAAACTCCATGACACC